TGTTCAATCTTAGTTGTGGGTGGGCGTAGCCCACCATCCCATGCGGGAATCAAACCAGCAACCTTGTTGTTAGGAGCAGCATGTGCTCTCACCAGCTGAACCATCCTGCCACCTGTTGGCAGCTCAGCGGTAGCTCAGCTCAGGCACAGCTCACAGGCCCATGTGGGAATCGTACCAGCGACTCTGTTGCTCAGAACTCCTGCTTTTAACCAACTGCACCACTTGGCCGGCCCCAAATATGCACAGCTTTTTGTATGTCAATCATACCTCAACAAGCAGTTGAAAAAGTAAAAAATGTAAATAGTCCCACCAGCTCATTCAGTGGGACCTCAGGGACACTACATGGAGAATATAAAAATGCCCATCTCTCCTGGGCTCTGATGGTCTCGGGGTAGTCCAGCTCAGTTTGTAATATTTCTTTCTCTGCAACATAAACTGTATACCTTGGGTGGGCAAGGCTGACTCTTTGGTACATTTCCTCCATGGTCAGATTTTAAAGGCTTGAAGGCTTGTTTAAAAACACAGCTCTAAGCCTTTGACATAATTTGGAGGAGGATGGAAGCCAAGTAGCATCTGGAGAATATGGGAGGGGACCTGGCATGCTTGCGGCTGCAGGGTGGGTGTGCAAGCTGTCTCCCAGTAGTGTTGCTTGATGAGAAATGCATCATCCCCCTGGGGGAGATGATCCCATAGTCCATTTCTTTGCAACAAGAGCAAATAGTGACAAAGGCTTGTACTCAGAATGTGAGAGCTGGAAGGGAACTCAAAGCTCACCTTAGTCAACCCCTCATTCTGAAAATGGAAAGCACCAAGACCAAACACGACCAAACACGACTGAGTGTTTGGTCCAGCTCCCAAGGTAATTAATGGCAGAGTCAGGTGTGAAAACCTGGTATCCTGAAGTCAGAAAGGCCCCAATTCAAAATCTGCCTGGGTCTCTCCCTAGTTATGTTCCCCTCACAAACGTGTCCAATCTCCCCTGAGCCTCAGGTTCCTCATCTACAAAACAGGAATGATCCTCCCCTGCTTTATAGGGTTCCTGCATAGAGTGAATTCATGTGCATTGCTCAGTGCCCTCTACATTAGGGAGGCATTTGCTCTTTTCCTGCCCTCGCCTTCTCTTATCGTAGGTTTAATCGAAGCGCCATGAAGTCAGTGATTTCCTTTTCTCAAACACGCTCTGGTTGCAGTCTGGTGTTGCATAACCTGCTGGATGAGGACACGGGTCCCCCGGGAGCTGTAGCAAAGTGGCCAGACACGCTGGCGCGGGTTGGGCGTTCCGTCCAGCAGAGGGCAGCAAAGCACGGACTCCTCCGCAGTCCAGTTTGCGAACAGCGAGCCATTATGTTCCCCTAAGGAAAAGGCCTAACGAGCTCCTTGCAGTGTGTTCTTTTCAGTGGAAGCATTTTGCCTGTCTCATTTCAGTGAGGACACAGTGTTTTGGTAACTGATATGTAGTCAGATTTTTTTTTTTTTTTTTAGTTTGGCTTTGTTTGGTTTTACTGGAGGGGTAATCTAATCAGTCCATTTATTAGTCATTTTCTTCCCATGCACCAGGCACGGTGCTATGCCCTTAATATTCAGTATCACAAGTATTCCCGATTTAGAGATGATGATTGCTATTCCTATAAGTGTAGTAATGTGTAAGAACAAAAGCTGTTTCTAAACCAAGGATGGGGCTAGGATGAAGTCTCTCTGTCCAAACACAGTAGCCATTTATTAAGTCCAGGACGAAAGTTAGGCACTTTTATAAATGCAGGGTATCAAAGAATATGGCAAGTCGTTTTCTTGATTTTGAAAACGATATACAATTTTCTCCTCCGAGCAACTGATTTGGAAGGAGGCGGGGCTTGTTAGAGACGGGATTCCCAGGCCCCAGCCCAGAACTGCTGGGTCAGAATCTGCAGCCTCACAAACTCCTAGGTGAATTCGGAGCACTTTCAAGTATGAGAAAGAAGCAAGGCCCTGGAGGGCCTTCAAATATTTGGAGGGCCAATATTTGAAAGAGGGAGTGTATTTGTTTTGCTTTGCTCTAAAAGGCAGATTTAGCTTTAATTAACGTAAGCCACAAGAGAAGGTTTCCAAATCTTTAAAGAGTGAGGCATTTGAAGTTGGACCTCATTCCAAACCTTACTAACTCCCTACTAGTCACCAGTTGAGTTTAAGCCGGAGTAGCCCAGCTGAACTACTTCTCATTATCTATAAAATGGGGATGTTGTTATCGAAACAACTAAAACTGTTTTTTTTATTATTATTATTCAATGAGATCATTGAAAATGATTTGTACATTTGAAAATACTATACAAATGTCAGTCACAGCCATCACCAGGGGTGGTCCAAGATGGAAAGTGCTGCCCTGTGAAGTGAGTGCCTCCTCATTGGTTGACAGACAGTGTGAAAGGATGCAGGGACATACGTTTGGGGCTCTTAAGAATTCAGTACAGCTGCAGCCTGTGGTGTAAATGGGAATGGAGTGATGAAAAGCTGGATGGGGAAGACGATGGCAAAATGAGGACTAGAACCCAAAGTTCTCTCATACNACTTTATTTCTTCATGATTTAAAAAGTGTTTAGAGGTAGGCAGACCAGCCCCATACGGCAGTTCTGTCATCACTGGGAATCCTGGTTTCTTATATCATTTTATTCTACCATTCTAGTACATGACTTCCAACTTGAAGGTCTTCTTATGGCTTATATAGGTATTGAAGCTCAGTTATCATTTCCATATTCCAGAGGAATGAAGATAAAAGAAAGGTGAAACAAAAGGGTCCACTCCTGGCTGAGGCAGTTCCCTTTAGTAGTCTTCTCAAAGCCCCACACAGCATTTCCACTGGTATCTCATTGATTAGGGTTACTTTCATGACCACAAATAAGCCTGCAAAATATAACTTGATAACAAGGCACTTTACACCCCTAAAGAATTGAGTCTCTGCTGCTAAGGAAGAAAGGGAGACTAAATATTGGGAAGTGACTAGTGACCTTTACCACATTAACTAAATTTTCTGAGTTTAGCTATTTTTAACAACTGATGAATAAGACTGTCTTTCCCTA